GAACAGAGAACAGCAAACAGGAGGGGAGAGAGTCGCACGTTTTAAGGAGAAAATTAGTAATGGTGTCTGTTATTGTTAGGACTGAATGGTAATTTATGACTTATGGGAGGCGAGTGGAGCATGGCCTGGCTAAATGCAATCCATATTGATCCTTATCACCCCCACTTCCTGTGCATATGATATCCCAGCGCTCCCTCGGCATGCTGAAAGCTCTCTGCGTGGTTCATGTTCAAAATCCCACATCTCTCTGCTTGTGTTGTTGTCTGAGCGGCTCAGGCACTCGCTGCCTCTTTGAGCTCAGAGGCCACACTGGGTTCGGACTCGGTGCGGATCCTGTCAGTCCCGCTGCCCCACCGTGGGGCCGAGGTCGAAGGGAAGCAGCCGAGTCTGACGTGAAGAGGCAGGGGCAGAAACCTCACCTGACGAAGGTCCAACACGCACGCCACCAAAAGTGACTCAGTCAACTCATCCATGCTATCAGGGAACCAAGTTTTATGTAAATATACTTTCCATGACTGACAGCAGGCTGATGCTGCGTTCACACCGCAGCCTCAGTGTGAACGCACTCAGATCGTGTTCGACCAAACCAATCATGATTTGAGCGTCAGGAGAGTCTGGTTTACATTCAAAGTCTATGTGGACGGCGCGGCGGTGGGGCGCGGCGGTAGTGGCGCGGCGCGGCGGCGGTAGTGGCGTGGCGGCGGCGCAGCGGTGGGGGCGGCGGTGGTGGCGCGGCGGTAGTGGCGTGGCGGCGGTGGTGGCGCTGCGGCAGCGGCGCGGCGGTGGTGGCTTGGCGGTAGTGGCGTGGGGCGGCGGTAGTGGCGGCGGCGGTGGTGGCTTGGCGGCGGTAGTGGCGCGGCGGTAGTGGCGCGGCGGTGGTGGCATGGCGGTGGCGCGGCGGGTGGTGGCATGGCGGCGGCGCAGCGGTGGTGGCGCGGCGGTGGTGGTGGCATGGCGGCGGCGCGGCAGTGGTGGTGGCGCAGCGGTGGTGGCATGGCGGCGGCGGCGCGGCGGTGGTGGCGCTGCGGCAGCGGCGCGGCGGTGGTGGCGCTGCGGCGGTGGTGGCGCGGCGGTGGTGGCATGGCGGCGGCGCGGCGGTGGTGGCGCCGCGGCGGCGCGTTTAATAATGTGCGGTTGAAGTGTTTCGAGCGTTTTGGATTGCTCTGATATTTAAAACAAAAAATGTTTGACTGTCATGAAACCCTTATAATATGTTTTTCAGCCATATATTAGCTGAGGTTTGTGATTCTTTACTTATTTTCTTAAGTCTATAAAGACAAATATTTGTTGGTTGTCAATGCATCCATGACTTCTTTAATCTGTTACTGTATTTCTAAAGAGGCTCATTTATGACCTGAAAACACAAAGGGAAGTGCATAACATGTAAAAATATTTAAAATTACTATTTATTCTAATTTCTAAAGCAGGTAGATATTTAATATTTGCTCCAAATGGAAGATGCTATAAAAATAAACTTTAATTACTTGTAAAAAAAAAAAAAAAAGATGAACACTTAGAAGTTATTTGATGTTGTGTTTGCTGGTCTGAGCATCAAGAGAATATAAAACGTGAGGCGTTCAAGTCTTAATCAGAATAAACTGGGTCTGACGCTCTGCCTTTTTCACTCCGTTTGAAAAATATCGGATCATTTAAATCAGAAACACAATCAAGCAAGTAAGAGCAACAATAATTTATAATAAAATTACTAAAATAAAAGTGAAAATGAAATACTCCTACAAGTACATTTTTTCAGGTTACTCCAGTAAATGTAATTTAATAAATGTAACTAGTTACTATCTGATTCTGGTGCAGAGCGATTCCATGCATGTTGAATAAATAAAGTATTTCACTGGATGTTTGTTATTTTTCCACTGTAACTGATTTCTCAGATGAATCAGATTTTTTCCAGCAGTTATTAAAGGAATCCCCAATTAATTATTCAACAATACAGCCAAATGTACAGTTAAATCAACAAGCCTTGTGGATTTTGATTCATTCAATAAAATATTGTAATTTAGCATTTCTGTTCTTTAACACCGCTGGACGTTTTGTCTGTAAGTTTGTGTTTAGTAGCAGAATCATTTTTCTCCTGCTCGGATTTCTAATATCTGAGGAAAGTTATTGAATAATTAACTTGGCATCAGATGATAGAAATGAAAATGTAGGCCAGTGGAGCTGCGTTTGTTTCCCCACATGAAGCCTCATTCTTCAGTTATTTTTAATTGCATTGAAACAAATAAATTAGAAAAACATGATAAAAATGTGTTGATTTGAAGTTGGTCAGATTCTCCCTCCCCTGGTTCGGTTCTGTCGGTGCTTTATAGAATGATAAAATATTTTGTTTGACAGATGTTAGGACTGTGAGGACGTTTCACTGTCTGACTGATTGTTCGAGACCAATAAAGACACCAGTCACTCACCAGTTTATTTACTGGAGAAACTGATTTTAGGATGCCATTCAATGTATAAATTTAGGTCCCATTTCATAAGGACACCTTGGTTTTTGGTATAAAACCATTAAATTTGGACTCATATTTGGAAATGTCGCATGTTTTAAGGAGAAAATTAGTAATTGTGTCTGTAGAAAAATGCAAACTGGCATTTACTGTTGAATTTGTATTTTTTCTAACCTTTTCCATCTTTTCCTCCTTTTTCGTGCTTCCCTTCTTTTCCAATTTATATTCAGGCGGACCCTCTGCCATTTTCTACTTGTTCACTCCTTCCTTTACCTTTCCATCTCTCCATCTCCATCTATTATTTAAGCATCAATAATGGGGCCTGTTGCTGTTGTCGCCAGCCTGCCGTTACTGCTGCGGCTGCAGTTGTTGTTATTTCAGACAGCTGTATCCTCACTCATCTGCTCCTTCCTGTCTCCTGAACCAAACAAACTCCTTCTGAAACCAGTTTCGCTTTGGGTTTGTTAGTAGAAGCCTTTTTAACACCTTCTTTTTAGGTTTTTGGCTGGATGTTTAGAAGAATGCCAGGACTTCTCAGGGTTTTGCTTCTCTCAGTGATCAATAATCCATGCACAACATTGGCATTATCAGATTGTCTGTGTTGCATAGCAATTGGACCATGTGCATGTTGGCGGGGGAGCTTCACTTGGCTGACAGTTAAATGCTGCCCTGGATTTAATAGCAGGGCAGGACAGAAGCGCACCAAGCGCATGGAGTCTCTGAATAACTGAAACTTTAACTTTTAGAAGTAAATATGGCCGCCTGCACATTTAAGCACATGAAGAAGAACAAATGAAAACCATCTGAAGGTGGAAAAGTTTCCATTTTTTAATTTAACACCTTTATGACAGAGTTGGGTAGTAACTAGTTACATTTACTCAATTACATTTACTTCAGTAACTTTTTTGATCAAATTTACCTTTTACTTTTACTTGGGTAAAATTATGTATTCCTACTCAATATGTCAAAAGTAATCAGTAGCTTTTCATCAAAATTTAGAAACTCAGACATCAATGATGCAATAAATCAATTAATCAATTCATTACAGGATTAATTAAAGCCAATCTGTTGTTTTTTTCTCTCTTTCTCCTAAAAACTGAACAGCTAAAATATTCAGTCTGGCGTTTTGGTCTCACTAAACCTGTTTTTGAAGAACAACTGTTATTTACACTAACACTTCCAGTTCCACAGTTAAATATTTACAGGGATTGAAAGTTTATTGATGTTTAAGAATCTGTTCCTGCATTAAGGATATCACTTGAATTACAACATTATTGTTTATCGCAATAATTTCTAGCAAAATCTATTGAATCCAATAGATAATCAGTTTGAAGCATAATGTTCAAGTCCCACTACATCCCCAACTTAAGCATGATTTGGGTTGGAAGAATGAAAGGTAACAATCCACCAAACAACGATGCTTCACCTCAGACTGAATTATCTTCCTTTTTTAATCTCCGGGGACCTAATTAGTCCTGATCCCAGAAGAAGAATCGAAGACAAACATCTCTGAGGCTTTCAGCGTCCAGAAAGACGCTCCCTCAGCGACCGACAAACAGAGATCCATGCAAAACTCATTCTATCAGGACAACCGGAGCGTTCACGTTCCCATAAATCAGCTGCTTAATGATGAAACACAGCAAACGATGGAGAAGGCGACAGCTTCGATCACTGCTGCTGCTTTCCTTACATCATCAGAAGTTCAGCAGAGGATAACGCCGGCAGATTATTTTCAGAAACTGAAACTAGGCCAAGGAATTGTTAATTATAAAGTCAGCTACAATGCAGCTATCTGAGTTCAGATTGAGTAAATGTGCAGACAAACAGCTCCTCTGTGGCCTGCGACTCCATCTGCACAGCATAAATACACTAAATCCCTTTACTGTTAATAAGAGGGGAAAAAAGACAAATTTAAAGCCGGAGGAACAGAGCGGTGAGCTTTCTGAATATTATTTTTGGAAACCCTTAAATCAGAGTTGCAGCTGCTTAGAATAATGAGACGTTGGTGGAAAAGACAAAAAATCTCCACAACATCCCAGCTACTCAGTTACTGAATCTAAAAACAAACACAGAGAAAAATGTTTTTTAATGCACTTTCCCTCCTAAAAAGAGATTTTAGAGATCCACCAATCAGTTTTCCAAATGAACCACTTTGACTGATTCCAAAATGAGAGAAGAGGAAAAAGTGATATGTGACAAGTTACTGAATCAATTTATTCTTATCTGAAAATAGTTGGAAATTCTACTGTTGCTGCATTTAATGCACAGAAAAAAACATTTCTGTTGCTTTTAGGAGCCAGTTTTTCAATCATCAATCAGAAAACTTGGTTGATTCCAACGTTTCGGTTCGATTGGTGCATCTCTCAACCCACCGAACCCCCTCCCCAACATGTTTCTAAATCAAATGCAAAGCGGAGCAGTCATGCATTTCTAAACAGACAACATCTATTCATGTAACATGCCGATTAATTGAGATGCTCATCTCCGATCCCCTATCAGCGCCGCACAGGAACGGGCCAGAAAAGGGATTACGACATCGCTTACTTTGGAGGACCACGGCTGCAGGCAGTTGGCATAGCAACGGACCAGGAAAGCCATTTCCACGCGGGAGGGAGCCGGAGAGGGGGAAGTTTCCCCTTATTCGCCGAAAGGAGGAGGAAAGAAATAAATAAGAGGGGGACGGCTGACGCCACTCTTTCTCTCTCTCTGCTGCAACAGAACCGTCCAGATGCGTTCAAGAAAAAGACGTTTGTATTAATTAGGTAGTTCAAGTCAAGGCAGAACCAAAGTTTGCAAGCTTCGACTTAAGCAAGAAAGTTTTAGTAAGAAAACAAAGATTTGTTAAACCTGGCAAACTTTTGTCAAAAGGCTGTTAAGTCAGTTTTGTCCTGCTAAAGATCCAGTAAGAAGCTGGAAAAAACTTCATCTCAGGGTTCAAGTCCACAAGGCGTGAACCATCTGCATCTGACAAACTCCTTTCTCCGTCTCTTTGCAACTATAAAGCTCCAGCGATGGAAACGTGAGCGGCGGCGTGCAGCTCCATGCCAGATCCCAGCGATCCCAGCGATCCCAGCGATCCCGCTCCGGCGAATCCCCAGCTCCAACCATCCAGTGGCTAACGCTCGCTCCTCACGCCGGTGTTCCTCCTCCCCCTCCCCAGCCTTGGAGAGAGAAGCCGCCGCGGACGGATGCTGCACGGAGAAGAGTCTGCCGCTAATGGGAAGCGGAGGAGAGAGTGGGAGCTGGAGAGGCAGGGGAAGGGAGGGGAATCCAGCTGAAAAAGAATGACATCACCTGTGCAGCGGGAGAGGGCGGGAAGAGAGTCGGGGCAGGGGAGGCGGCTGATACGAGGCGAGCGAGAGCAGCGCAGCAGCGGGGACTGCATTAAATGGATTGACCACTGAGCAGATGTGGACGGGAGAAGGAGAGATAGAAAGAGATGGAGATCGAGAGGACAGCAAGGGAACATGTTTATTGATCTGCCGGTAACATAAAGCCAAGTATATGGAGGAAATCCCCTCCCCTCTGTGAGCATAAATTACAAAAAACGAGAAAAGGAAAGGAGCGGAGCAGGAGAGGAGGGGGGATAAATCCCAGCGAGATACAAGGACAGACTCTGCAGCCGAACAAACGGCTCAGGAAGATTTGCAACAGAATCTGACGTCTAAGACTCACGCAAACACAGACGCAGGACAAAACCTTGACAAATCTCAAGCTAACAAAGACAAAATAACTTTAACAAAATCACAGCAACGTCTATCCAACAAGAAGAAAAAGCAACTTGAGGCTTATTTTTACGTTTCAGGACAAATCTGCTTCTGCTCCTACATTTTAATAGATAAAAATGAGGAAGAAATTTAAGCAACTTATCTTAAGGCAATAGATCCTTAAAAAGCTACACAAACTTAACGGCCTTTTGAAATCCTCAGAAGTTCATAATGAAGAATATAATCACAAAACCCTATTAAAGATGTCGTTTCTCATTTTGACCACATTAATCTGGCAATAAACAATCAGAAGCATCTTAAAATCTTTAATCCATTTGGAGTTTAATTCATTTTTGCCATGGAGTCAAGAGCTGCTTTTTGTAAGAGCAGCTTCTTGGTCGTTCTTCTTGATTTGTGATTCTTATATAACAGAACATGTGAAAGTGGTAAAAATCACTTTTTTATACCATGAAGGTTTAGAAAAACTCACCAGCCGGCTGCTTTGCGTCTGCACCATCGTTTTACAAAAAAAAAACTAAAAAAATGAATAAGAATCAAAACAAACAGCAAAATGTTCTTTTTCAATTAAATTGTAAAAATATCGCAATATTTTTATCACTGCCCTTTTTTAAGTATCCTGAAGTGACTTTAATGAACTCAAACTGTGATTCAAGTAACTTATAATTCCTTGAAACTTGGCTGTTATCCCCTGACAAATGGCTTTTATTCCCATTATAATTATTTTTACAAAATGCATCAGTAAGTGTTTCCATTTTCCTTTTTCCCCGGCTCTTCATGCATTACCCAGAGTGCACTGTGCTCATGACACCAGGACAATAAAGATGAAAGAGTGGGGGAGGATCTCCAACCAGAGACAATAGAAGCTGTCTGTCAATTAGAAGCGCTAATTATTAGCCCAACAGGAAGAGACGCCAGAAACAGGATTGGAATAATTTACTCAAATTGTTTGATATTTTATTTTAACCATCTCATTCTGGCTCCATGCTACTATTTTTACAGTTTCAGCTAGCTGCTCTGAATCAGGATCTCTTTCCTCTGCGTTCTGTGCCAACGAGGAGAAATACACCTCCCGACTAGGAATGACATCATCTCTCCCCTCAGCAACCAATCGGAGGCGAGCACATGGAGCCCAGCCTTCAGAGGAGCGCTATGTACACAAGAGAGACGGAGAGGGACGCGGGGAAAGAGGCAGAAAACCAAAATGGGAGGCCGGTGGACAGAGCAGAATGTTACTGGGATGAAAGGATGAATCAAACACACACAGACCTGCAGAGACTCAGCCATTAAACCCCACCAGTTCATATGAATGAAATTACAGATCACTGAATGGATTAAAGACTCTCGGCTTAATGGATGGGGCCTGTCAAGTGAGTGCATGCAGTATATCTGTGCTTCCGTTAAAAAGAAGAAGTGTGCAAGTGTAAGTCTGCACCAGCTGCAGCTCTCTTCCTTTTTGCATACATGCCTGCTCTGCTGGGCTTCAAAGCCTCAGCCTTTATAAATAAGCCCACAGACAGAAGCAGTTTCTGCTGTTTCTTCCTCAAATAAAGTCAATGGGTAACTGAAAAAAGAATCAAATTAACACACTGCACAGAAGCACTCTCTTAAAACCAATCTGGCCTTCCTAATGCATGGATACTTTTATTATACCTACTGACTTTTCACCCACACAAACAAGTTAGTGTGATTCAATGAGAAAACATCAACAGAGTGCTGAAGATTTCTCCCCAAAAATTAATGTTTTCAGTTTAGATGCATATAAGAAATCATTTTTCAATGTTTAGTTTATCTATAATTTCCAAAAATCTGATCTGGAAGTGATCAGCGCCATCTTGGTAGGCAAACGCAGCGCCAAGACCAATGGAAAGAAAGGATATGGACACTCTGGACCGACGTGCAAGACAAAGATACAGAAACAAAATGGCTCCTGTAGGGATTGAAACATGTCAGAGGATGTGGAGAAGCTGCTTCCAATCTCCTACTACGATACAGTTCACTACTGAGTGACATAAAGATCTTCATGGATGCACACAATCAATGTTTAACCGACTTTCTGAAGAACGTACAAACTCTTAATGTAAAGTAAGATGTAAGTACATGTAGCAACAAACACCTAGGCTACATGTCTGCCTTAGCAAGCAGGTAAAAGCTACATTAGCTAAGCTAATTTTGCAGTAAGTACTACATGTTTCGGTTTTTAAAGAGACAGTCGCCTCTGACGGTTCGTCTGATCTGAACACAAAATGAAAAAATGAAAACAGCACAACGCACACAAAATTTCAGCACATTTAGGCATAACTGAACATGAAGATGTGGACCGTGTGAGCAAAACACCGAGCAGGATAGACGTCACACAGGAAACGTTTCCTGGAACAGTCTGTCTGCAGCAGTGTGTGTGAACACGAGTCGGGTAAAGTCAGGTGAATGTTTTCAACGCAGAGAAAAGGAAAAAAGAGATTAAAACCAGCAAGGCAATAATGCAAATATGAAAATAAACAGAACATACTGGGAGGTTGAATTGTGATTTAAACATTTTTTGGAAAATTACCCATTTAAACAGGCAACAAATGACAGGAAACAGCCGGCAGACAACCACACATGCTGTGCAGCGCGCCGCAGCCAGACACAAGGCGTCTTGTGTGCACGGTCAGGTGTGCCGTGTGAATATTTGGGGATGTCTTTCACCCTGCAGCTGCTGAGACCAAAGGTCTACTGGGATTCAGTTGGCCAGGTGAATCAGTCTACTGTCCCAGCCTACAGCGAGTGGTGAAAGGCGGTTTTTAAATCAAATCTGTTCTGTCAGGCCAATTAAAACCAGTCATCTGACTTAAGCTCTGCAACACACTGATGCAACCCTACATCCAGCTAAAGCAACGTTGCTCAAACTTATCCCACTTCAACAAACACGGACACCGAACCTTAAATTGCCCCCTGCACAATATGAACAAAAGCCTGAAATTAAAATATTAGTCTCTTAACTCATTGTTTTTATTCTTCTGTGACTCCACAATAAAACCACGATTTGGTCTGAGTTATTGTGATTCTGAGTTCATGCATTCGAAGCTTTCCAATGTTGAAAAAGTTCTTCATGACAAGTGTTTTGTGCACTAATGAAGTTTTAGGGCTATTTATAATTTAGAAACAGAATAAAAGAAAAATACACTTGAGTTGCTTTGGCAAAAACAAACATTTTCTTTCAGCCGATAAAGAGTCCAAAGTAAATAATTTTATATTAGGTGTTCAGATGCAGTTGGTCAGTGTGGGGCGCAGCACTGCTCATGCTGAGTTGAGTTAAAACTGCTGCAATGTCCTAACAAAATCATTAATAAATAAATTTAAAATTAGTGGACCAAGTACTGAGCCTTGGGGTACGCCAGTGGTTTGGTTTATGGTTGACAAACTATGATATAATCCTGTGTTCATTCCTCTGCTGTGTTTCAGAGGGAATGAGTTCAGGACTTCCTGCTATTTAAAAATCAACCCTTCCCTTTCCGACTGGTCTCTGCAGGCGCTGCCTTCAGAGAGGGCCAAGCCTGCAGGAGAAATGAAAAAAACAACTCGATTGACCCAACATAGTCAGCCTGCTCTGCATGCAATAAGTAGTTTTATTACAATCGTACTAAAAAAAACTGTAAAAAAAAAAGAAAAAAAAAAGTTGAACATAGCGGATAAAAAGCCCCATTTTTATCCAAAGAAAGACAAATGAGAAGACAAGCAAGTGATGAGAAGATAAAAACTTCAGACAAGAGGAGAAAAAGAAGCCTGGGGTAAAAACTGCCAGCAGGATTTCACAAGGTGAAAAAGAGGTAAGACAGGAGGATTAAAGGCTTTGTTTTTCTGCAGGACACATGTTATGTTTGACAGAGGCTCACCTCAGCTTTTCCTGACAACTATTCTGTTCTGAAGCTTCAACTGCTCCCTCGTTTTCAAGATAATCTAATCGCAGCCTGAAATATTATCAAGCAGATGCCCAAAAAGAAACGAGGAGGATAAAGGTTAAGCAGCTGAGAGGGAGGAGACAGAGGAGGGAATATAGAGTGGAAGATCAACAAGGTTGTCATGTTAGTGCTGGTGATGTAATCCCTAAAATTAGCAGCAACAACAGCCACAGACACTGTGCTGCCCAGCTTGTGCTGTTTTCTGCTGCACATGCAATCAGGCATGCTGTCCACACGATTAATAGTCAAAATATGAGGCCAGAAGTTAAAACATTAAAGCAATCACGAATAAATTATTTCTCAATTATATTTCAAGTTATGCAAAGAAAAATCCACAATAAAATGGTTTAGATGACATGCGTCAAACTCGAGGCCCGTGGGCCACATTCAGCCCGCCGTAGCTTTTTATGAATTGATTTGATATTTTTGTGAACAAGTTTTATCAATACATCCTGGCACAATCGGCTCTTTGATCTTGATTTGGCCCAAAACGAAAATGAGTTTGATACCTAAAGTTTAGACGAAACCATGTTTATGAGCTAGAATGGAGCAGTCAAATCCAGCCCTGCAGCAGATGGAAACAACATACTTCCAAAGTACAATAGACTGCAAGCGGTTTGTAAAAATGTGTCATTTTTTCCTCTTTGCACAACTTTAAATTCCTCTATGACGTTAAAAAATGTGTAAAGGTTCAAGGAGTGTGAATACTTTCGGGAGTTTGGTTGTGTGAGGCTGTTTGAATGTGGCAGTTCAAGAACAGTTTGAGTATTTTTGAGCTTTGGTAACAATTTGAGGAAGTAAACAACCCACAGATTAGAACATGAGGTTTGGGTCTGGTTGCCAGTTCCATGAGTAATGGCTTATGCATATGTTTCACTTGCTGGCAATGATTTGTGGTTGCACAGAGAATTAAGTCAGAACAAAAGCAAAGAACGTTAGTTTAATAGTGGTTTCTACAGTAAATTTCTCCATTTGCTTCATACCCAATACTTTCTATTTTAAGAGCTACTTATCGCCAAAAAGCGAACAAAATGTCCCAACTAAAGGAGGAGAAAGTACCACATTTTAAAGCATAATCT